ATGGCACTTGACATGTCAAACTGGACTGTTTTAGTGAGAACAATTTAGAGAAATATTTGGTCCATATGTTGATATAATAGTTACAAAATGACTTTAAAAAAATGGAATTCTTGTGATGTTCATTTGGCAAAAAATGGGCCACCTCAAGGCATAGAACTAAAAGAGCCAAGTTGATTTTAAAGCTACACTTACGTGGAATACATCAGATCAGATAACTGTTTCAGCACAAAAAGGACAATTTACTGTTAATTCTTGACAGCCTCTAGAGCAGAGCTTTTCAAACTTTATGTTTGTGACACATTTTAAGACAAGCATTTCACCAGACAATAGACAAGCATTTCGCCAGACAGTAGACAAGCATTTCACCAGACAGTAGACAAGCATTTCACCAGACAATAGACAAGCATTTCACCAAACAATAGACAAGCATTTCACCAGACAAAAGACAAGCATTTCACCAGACAATAGACAAGCATTTCACCAGACAATAGACAAGAATTTCACCAGACAATAGACAAGAATTTCACCAGACAATAGACAAGCATTTCACCAGACAGCAGACAAGCATTTCGCCAGACAGCAGACAAGCATTTCGCCAGACAGCAGACAAGCATTTCGCCAGACAGCAGACAAGCATTTCACCAGACAGCAGACAAGCATTTCACGAGACAGTAGACAAGCATTTCACCAGACAATAGACAAGCATTTTACCAGACAGTAGACAAGCATTTCACCAGACAGTAGACAAGCATTTCACCAGACAGCAGACAAGCATTTCACCAGGCAGCAGACAAGCATTTCGCCAGACAGCAGACAAGCATTTCACCAGACAGTAGACAAGCATTTCACCAGACAGTAGACAAGCATATCACCAGACAATAGACAAGCATTTCACCAGACAATAGACAAGCATTTCACCAGACAGTAGACAAGCATTTCACCAGACAATAGACAAGCATTTCACCAGACAATAGACAAGCATTTCACCAGACAATAGACAAGCATTTCACCAGACAGTAGACAAGCATTTCACCAGACAATAGACAAGCATTTCACCAGACAGCAGACAAGCATTTCACCAGACAGCAGACAAGCATTTCACCAGACAGTAGATAAGCATTTCGTCAGACAATAGATAAGCATTTCGCCAGATAATAGACAAGCATTTCGCCAGACAGTAGACAAGCATTTTGCCAGACAATAGACAAGCATTTTGCCAGACAGTAGACAAGTATTTTGCCAGACAGTAGACAAGCATTTTGCCAGACAGTAGACAAGTATTTTGCCAGACAGTAGACAAGCATTTCACCAGACAGTAGACAAGCATTTTGCCAGACAGTAGACAAGTATTTTGCCAGACAGTAGACAAGCATTTCACCAGACAGTAGACAAGCATTTCACCAGACAGTAGACAAGCATTTTGTCAGACAGCAGACAAGCATTTCGCCAGACAGTAGACAAGCATTTTACCAGACAGTAGACAAGCATTTTGCCAGACAGTAGACAAGCATTTCGCCAGACAGTAGACAAGCATTTCGCCAGACAGTAGACAAGCATTTTGTCAGACAGTAGACAAGCATTTCACCAGACAGTAGACAAGCATTTCACCAGACAGTAGACAAGCATTTTGCCAGACAGCAGACAAGCATTTCGCCAGACAGTAGACAAACATTTTACCAGACAGTAGACAAGCATTTTGCCAGACAGTAATACAATGTACAAGCCAGAGGTTAAAGTTTAAAACTGCAGGCTGATTATTCTGTTTAATGCTTTATGTTGGACTGAATCAAATTCACATTGCAGCCAACACACTAAAGTGTCGCAACACATAGTTTTGAAAGCTCTGCTCTATGGGTATTTTAAGGGCACATTTATCTTCCTTCTTCTACCTTTCACTCCCATTAACAATTATAATGCATATATATATATGAAAACAAGCACAATATGTGATAACAAGCAAGAAAACAATTATCATGTTTATACTTACAATTAACGACTTACAATATGACATACAAGTATTATGTTATGCTGAAGTCATGAAAATAGACAAACATTCAGAAGAAACTTGCAAGGCTAGTCAAGGGCAGGGCAGACATTTATATATGTAACTACCCCTACGAAACTGTTGAACACCATCTCTTTGAGTGCCCAAAACTCAGTGAGACAAGAAGAACGCTACTCCCTCCGAGACCAGACAAGTGGAACACCTTGTCAGACAAGTGGAACACCTTGTACGGAGGAAAAGAACAGCTTGTGAAAACATGCAAATTCCACTACATGGCATTGGGCCAAAGGGCGAAAGCTCATGCGCCGCTGGATCGATAACAACAACAACAACAACAACAACATATATAAGGTAAGGCACAAAACAAGCTATGGAAAATATATGCATACAAGGCCAGCACTAAACTTTACCACTACTAAACTACCACTGACAAACTATACTCTTACAATATGACGGAAAAACTGTATTTAAAAACAAAATTTAACTGTGGGATTTAAAAACCATACTTTTATTAAACTGTCCCGCTGAAAAACAAGGGAAAGGTGAGACGGATATACAGTCAGAGAGTTACTGGTTCTATCGCATTTAGAACTCTTCACTTGCTGCTGAAGATGGGGGTGGAACGTTTATGGTAGTGCTGTGATGTCGATTCTAAATTCAACATACTGCTGAAAAATACTGTGACAGTTCTGGAGTATGAAAAGTGCGATGTTTTCGTATTTCTACGTTCCTTGTCAGCGCCTTCTTTGTCTGGGGGGTAGGGAGGGAAAAGGGGGGGGGGGGGGGGGGGGCACCGCCAACAAACTTAGAAATACTAAAATGTTTTAGTTTCGATACTCAAGAATCGTCGCGACTGCGGCGCTTTCCCCTGCCAAACATCTTACTTGTACACAGGCACCTGCGGTGCCTCAAAGAGACTGTTGGCACTTGTACCCATTCCTCACCTGGTTCTATGTGATGTTGTGATTTATGAAAATGTCTGGGTTCTCTCTTTTGGTCCTGCGGTCCTGGTGGGGGTTCTGCTTTGTGTGCCCGTCTTCTTTGCTGTGTCTTGTGCATGACTGTTATTTATAGCCAACAAATGCTGGGGATGATTTGTTGGTCCAAGGAAATGCCCAGGTGGTCTGCCACAAATTTATGTCAAATCTTTTTTCTTGGCATTCACTGGCTATAAACTCCAGCGGAAAGTTCTGGTTGTTCGTCCACCTCCGGACGTTAGTCTTGTTCCAGAACCTTAGTATCGCGTGCATATCTGTTTTAAAAATTCTGCCTTATTTGTATGCAGACTGTTGGTTCCTTTTCTCTCAGGCAGATGCACACTGACTTCGTATGTCGCTCACAGCTAGTCGACTTCCTGTTTTCTCTTCTTTACAGGGCCCCTGTAATAGGGAAAAAAATTTCCTCTGTTGAATCATGTAGTGGCTACATGATTCCAGCACTACAGAGCTACAGTGATGTTCTAACCTCTAATCAACACCAGATGGTGCATGATCTGTAAACTGTAATTTTATTGGATACAGGAAAAAATCTGCTTTTTTTTAAAAGCTGTCAGGGAGTCCACAAAACAATACTGCTCTAAAGGATACACAAATATTTATTTTTTCAGTAACACTATAAGCTTCACAAGAAACAACTGAATTAAACAACCTGCATTTGTGTAGTTTATACTCAGTTTACACAACAACAACAAAACTACAAATTAATCTTTGTTTTCTAGGTAAAGGGTTTATATACTGAATTTGTTTAGCAACTTTAAAAATATAAATGTAACTTACCAAAATCAAATTTAATTTGGTCACTTTCACCAACAACAAAAAAAGTATAACCTGGTAACTTCAAAAACAAATGTACCAACTTCAAAAAAAAAAAGAACACAATTAACAATGGAATTTTGCACAAAAGTCTAATTCGCCAAACTTCAAAAACAAATCTAACTTGCTAAATTCAAATCTAACTTAGTCACTCTCAACAAATCTAACTTAATATCTTCAAAGTCTGATGAAACAAGTCTTAACTTCAAAAACATGATACCAACTTTATTTTAAAAAAAACACCATTGTAATTTTACTCAAAAATCTAATTTACCAAAATTCAGCAACACATCTAACTTACCAAATTTAAAATCAAGTCTAACTTGTTACTGTTTTCAATTAGAAAGAAACAACATAATTTTCAAAATTACAAAACTCCTGACCCTTCTGCCATACAAATTTCATAACAAACTTACTTAAAGAACAACTTTGGCCACACTGTAAATTTTGTGAAAACCTCAATTCAACTTTCATCAGCATCAAGTGCCTTGTCAACATGCACTGGCTATTGTGCCTCTCCAAATTTACAAACATTTATCACCTTCTGCATATACCAACTTAGTACATTCCAAGTTTGTCCAAGCATGAAATTTGACAACTTCTATACTGCTAAAATACACATTAAAAAAAATCATACATGCCAGTTTAGTGTTTTTGGCCTAAGTGAAACATTTACTGACAACTGTCTATTTGTCTCGACTGCTGCCAAATTAATGTAAAATTTTCCTGTAAGCCTCAATAATAGAGGTCTGTTATGGCATGAGTTACCTGATACATATTGTTGTTTTTTTGCCCCAAAGAGCTTTGGTGTGCGCCAGGGCTGTGTATTATCGCCACTTCTTTTTATAACATACATGGATACTATATGTAAGGAAACAAACTTTAATTATGAAGAAGATATATCAGAATTATTATTTGTCGTGGACCAGGTATTCAAACAGAAAGTAAGGAATGCCTTCAGAACGACCTAAATTAAATTAATAAAAAAAAAAAAAAATGTCAGTTTGGTGTATTTGGCCGAAGTGAAACATTTACGGACTGCTGTCTACTCAACTTAACTACTGGCAGTAGTTTCGTCCGTCCAAAGAGTAGTACAATGATGGCAGTGCCATTCTTTGGCTCATTTTCAACATTCTTTCTCTCAACAACCACCTGGTCACATGTGAAACTTTGAACAAAGACAGTTAGGTCTGCTCAAAACTGGTTGCAGATTTCTGCATGATCTTGCGATGCATCCTGGTCAACTCTGGATCCTGAGTCTTCTCTGTAGTTGCTTTTGTTTTCTTCTCTTCCTCCTGTGAGGCAAGAACAGATTGGGAAAACAAAAAGGATATGTCAACTTTACTGGTCCGATTACAACATACAAACAAATTATGTTGTAGTGATTAGCCACCTTCAGCTAATATTCTTCAAATACTGTGTAAAAAATATTAAACAAACTTATAATACAAGATAGAATTATAAAAAGTAGGTAATACTTTTATACAGGAAGGACTGAGGCAAAAAGAAATGGAAATGTTATAAAGAGCCAGGGAGAATTAATGAGGTTTTGTAATAACGGATCAACATCATGGCACATGGTTAGTAACCTATAAGTGCTCCGTTCTTCTTCTAAATCGAGTCTGAGTCCGAAGAAGCTCAACACAGTGCATAGGCTCTGTAGCACCGGCGAGGATCCTGAAATACTTTGGGTAGATTTTTAACTCCAAATTTAGCCTGGGCAGCGCATTAGGCTACTCTTTTCGATTTCCAACTGCCAAGGGATTTGTTATGTGCGCAATAATGCACACAGGCGTCCGATCTCACTACCCAGAGAATAGGGGGAATTACTAAAGTCCAAATACATGTGAAAAATCCCACCCCTTACCAGGGATTGGACCCGGAACCTCTAGCACTCAAGGCGGACACCATGCCTCAAGACCACGCAGCCCCTCCCCCTCCTCCCCCACCGAAGAATTAATGGAAATAATTAACACTATAAATATTCATGTAGTAACAACGAACAACTGTAACAGCAATCATCATCAATCAGAAGGTCCTTTGCAGAACGTCGCTCTCGTTACGGCACGCTTGAAGGTCTCCCTTCCTCTACTCTACTCAATTCTTCAGCCATATGTGCTTTCCTAGCCAATGCATCTTCAATATCTTGCATCCCCATTCACAGAGGTCTACCTCTGCCTTGTCCTCCCCCCTCCCCTAAAAAAAAAACTGAAACCTCCATCAACGTTTGGTCCAGGCCACCATGGGTTAAAGTACATTTCAATGTCATAATATGTATATTTAGGGCATTGTATGTACTGACTTCAATGGGTCCGTTTCAATGTTTTTTGCTAGCACATTTCTTCTGTCTTTGCAGACAAAAGTATTATTGTGTTCTACAGAGACCAGGGAATCATAGTCTATTAAGGCCAGGATTTCAGAAACTTCTTTGGCATGAGAAATCACAAGGCCTTGGGAATGAGAGTCCTTTAGATGGTCTGCGATGGAAGCAGTAATTTACAAACAGATCTGCTACATTATAAGAATTAAAGGGCCCTGTTCATGCCTTTGGCACATCAGGCATTCAGTGCTAGACCTATATTTTTTATAGACCATTCAGTACTCAACACACTGGCCACCTTTACCTCCCAGGCTATTACCTAATGCCTACTATAGGCTGGTTGCAGTGGTGGCCTAGGTCAATTAAAAAAAAAAAGTCTGCTTTAATATGGATTTGAACCCGGACTTTCTGATCAGCAGGTGAGTGTTTAGCCTCTATTCTACCACAGCTCCCTGTTATGATAGTAAGTAAAGTGAAGGACTTTTCCCACACCTGCAGGCATATATGGCATACAGGACTAGACCTATATTTTATAAACTAATCAGCGTTCGCGGGTAATGTGGTCAACTTCACACGGGTCGTCTTTACCTCCCAGGACTGCACCTGACTCCTAATTTGAGGCTGGGTCCAGCTGGGAACTAAAGCCTTTTTTTTTAAAGTCTGGCTCCGTCAGGACTAGAACCCACAACCTTTTAATCTGCAGGTCAATGTCTAGGAACTACACCGTGATGGCTCCCTCCGTTATGATAATAATGAATATTATTTCCTAAACAGTTATAATCCTATCCTGGTATTCATAATTGAACCATGGACAGGCAGACGATCAGTGAAAAATTATTTGGAAGCGGTGGAGATGTGGTTTTGTAGAAGAATGATGAGACTACCTTGGACAGATACAAAGATTCCTTCAAAGTCGGACTGCATCTGCCTGAGAGGAAAGGAACCAACAATCTGCATACAATTAAGTCAGATCTGTTACACGGATGTGCATGCAACACTCAGGCTCTGGAACAAGACTTAAGTCCATAGGGGACACACAACCAGAACTTTCCCCCAGAGTTTACAGCCGGTGAACGTGAAGAAGAAGAAGAAGATACAAAGAGTAAAGAAGATGTCTTAAAAAAAAAAGTGACTTATAAAGAGAACTCATGGCCAACTAATTTTCTTCAGGTTATGCCGGTGTGTTGTGAAATGAGCAGGCAGATAGACTGGCTGGCTCCACACCACTTGGGGATGAATTGATGTATGACAAGTTAGATACTGTGTGGGCCCTTTGGGAGCGAGTGAACAGTCCGGGAGCGCAAATAGATCATTATGGTCTAAGGAGAATGGCGCTGCGAGGAGTTACCAAGGGATCTGGCTAACGCTCAACACTTAGGGGAAGGATGTGACGGATATACAATCAAACGGTTACTGGTACCATCGGAATTGGAACTCTTCGCTTACTGCTGAAAATAGGGACTAAACGCTTATGGGAGTGTCCCAAGTGCTGTGATGTCAATTCTCAATTCAACATTTGATTACATTTGAAGGAGACAATCTACATTCTTTGGTCATGTCATGAGAAGTGAGAAGAAGAAAAAGTTGGAGGGGAAATGAGACCTAAGGGGAAATGAGACCTTAGGGGAAATGAGACCTTAGGAGACTTAGAGAGAAGATGCTGGACAGTCTGAGATCATGGCATGGAGGATCATCTGTGTCAGAACTGACTGAGAGTACATGAGACAGATGGTTGTGGACAGACATGGATGCGACACAGCATGGGCTATAAGAAGAAGAAGCAGTTATAAATAGTCATCTTTCATAACAAACCTCTTTTAATTTGTTAGCCCTCTCCTCTAACTTCATCACTAGACTTGTCCTCTCTCTGGTGGTTTTCAGCTCCTCCCATTCTTTCTTCTTCTCTTTCTCCCTCCTGTCACGTAAGACTTTATTTAACTCAGGTTTCTGTAGCACATCTTTCCCTCTGAGACACATAAGTGGAGACAATTTCATTTTTAAAAATATCATAAAAGGTCAATACAAACAAGAAGTAGAACTAGTAGTCAACTTCCTAATCTCACAGTCATGATGCAAAATTAACGTTGCAACCTTCAGTAGTAGACAAAACAAAAAGACAATGATTTTATTAGAGATAATAATACATTAGTTGTTAGTTGCGGTTCCAACATCACTGCTTTGTTCTTGTGCTAGTGTAAATCACACAATATGTCCTTCACTGTCCCAGTTGAAAACCAGTGAAATACCTGTCAATTCCAGCAAAATCTTGAAGTTTGCACATGCAAAGTAAAAATGCATAAGGCAGCTGTTAGATGTACCAACACTAACAGTCCCATACACCAGAACTGCAGCTCACTGTTGACAGAAACAGTCATTCATAAAAGTCAACAATGACAAGGTAACAATATATAAAATTAGTTAGCTTTATGGTGAGGCCAGTAACACAATCTCTATCCCTGATTGAACAGTACAGGCTCTGCTTGCATGCGCCCTCACAGAAGAAAGAAACTGGCCTGGAAGTAACCCAAAAAGAGAGGGAAGGTCTGGTTGGCACATGGTGAAAGGTTATGGCAAGGGATATAACTCAAACAATCTGTTTAGATAAAAGTGATGGGCATTAAGTCCTCTTGGAGAAAACCGAACAGACAGATAAGGAGCCAATAAATATTGAAACAAAACAGACAAGTCTACCTATGAACCAGTACTAACATTTGCTGAGAATGTAAACTAAGAAACTGGCTGCAGCACTCAACACCAAAGGTGATGTGTGCTGGATAAGTTGTGGAAAGACGGACAAGAAGAAAAAAAGGTGTTTTAACTCTTTTTTTTTTAATACCAAGTGACACATTATATATGATCAGCTATTGTAGAAATGTAGCATCTGAACAGAACATACCAAGTTAAAATCTGTCGCATATGCATGCACACTTCAGACTCAACAAACACTCATAACAATTAGGTATGAGCCAGACAGCTCTGTCAAGTGTCTTTCATGCTGAACAGACTACAGAACATGTCTTCCAAGACTGTCCTCTCCTAGAGGAGCTGTAAAGAAACATATATCCCCACCCAGTAGACCTGACAACTAGGCTTTGGGGAACCTAAGAGATCTTGAGATGATATCCCAGCTTACGGCCTATGGTGGATTAACAGCACGACCAAAGATAGCTGAAGGAAAAGAAGTTCATGTGTAGCAATCAAAACATGGTATATTACTATGTTTTTAGGTTTGAAATGTTGAGAGACCTGGAAAGCCATCTTAATATGTAAAACGGCGATTGCTGCCTTTTGAAAAACAAAAAAGAGGTAATGTTCCCCCTTTCCATGCCTCTAGGCTTATAGGGCATATAGGGCTAGACCTAAATTTTTATAGACCAATTGGCACAAGATGGGTGATATGGTCAGCATCATGCCGGCCACCTTTACTTCCCTGGACTGCACCCAGTACCCACTCAAGGCTGGGTCGACCTGGGAGTCAAGGTCATTTTTGAAACAAGTCTGGCTCCACCAGGAAACGAACCCACGACCTTTGGATCAGTACATGAGCGTCCAGCCGCTAAGCCATGGCGACTCCCTTGATGCCTTTTAGAACATATATATTTATGCATGTATTAGTGTCGTCATAAACTCACTTTGGCATTTATCAAAAAATCCTATAAGAGTGATAAAATTAAACATTGCATCAGTATTCATTCCTCCCCATATGGCTTAGTCTCTCTTTATGCAGTGTGGCTAGTTGTCCGCTAAGAGCATCGTACAAAACACAACCCTCAGTAGCTTCATAGACAATCTCTAAAGATCTTCAAATCTACACTCACAAGACAAACGACGGAATTTGAAACTAAACCTCTTAGCTTAATCCTGTCTTCCCTAGAAGACTAAATCCAGTCATTTCCGGCTCTGACACAGCCTCATAAACGTTGACATACTGCCATGTCTGCAGTGACCTGTTCTTGAAAATCATAGTTAAATCCAGTGGTCTTTTGTGGGCCTAGGCAGTGTTTAATAGGCCAGTGTATGAACGTAGTAACTAAAAATAACATTTAGAAGGGGTTTCCTTATGACCCCAAACGCTTTTTAAAATCCAAGTTGATGCCAAATTTTCCTGTAAGCCTCAATGATAGAGGTTACTGTGTTATGGCATGAGTTACCTGATATATTGTCTTTTTAGGCTCCAAGGAATATATTCCATATAATGCTTCACTCTGTTCAGGTTTATTGATTATCACCTTACATATCTTTATATATTGCTAAAAAAAAAAATTCAAAATGAAGATAATTTTGTTATTTATTTATTAGTGACCAGTGTAATGTAATTGTTTTTTAAGGCTTGAGGCTGAACAGGGTATCTCAAATTTACCCTACTAGTCTGTCCTCCAGATTTTGTAATCTCACTGTGTCAAATCTTCAGGTAGCAGCCTGGAGGAGGACAGTGGAAGGAAAGAAGGAAGCAAGGAAGGAAGAACAAGACAACACAACCATCTGAAAAATAAGAACAATGAACCTCAGGACCTTTTAAGGCACAGAAGCCAACATCTCACAAATTGATCTTTTTACATCTTCTACCTCATGATCTCTATGCAGTTCCTGTAGTGCTTTAATTCTAAACAATGATATTCTTTCTGTTCTCCTGCAGCGCCTGTCATTCCTGGTTAGGTTAAGATTCAGACGATGGGTTAACATCATGGCACAAGGGTAGTAACCCATAAGTGCTCCATTCTACTTCTGACTCAAGCCTGAGTCCGAAGAATTTCAGTGCAGTGCACGAACTCTGTAGCACTCGTAAGGATCCTGAAAATAGTTTAGGTAGATTTTTAACTCCAAATTTTTCCCTGGCAGCGCCGTTAGGCTAATCTTTTTTGATTATCAACTGCCAAGGGATTTTTTTACATGCGCAACAATACACATGGGCATCTGATCTTATTACTTAGAGACCAGGGAAATTACTAGAAGTCCATGTGAAAAAATTATAGCCTTCACCAGGGCTTGAAACCGGGACTGGAGGCAGCCACCATGCATCGGAATACGCAGCACCCCTTGTCATTCCTTGTGTAAGGGACAATATGCAAAGAGACAAAATAAACAGATTTGCGGGACATCTTTCGGTGAAATATCACAAGCTAGTTTGGTTCTGTCACATTGTGAGACACGATCTGATTGCAAAGATATACTTCATGGAAGATCAGGGGATAGTGTAGGTGGGGGATGGTGGGGGTGGGGTAACGTGGAATGAATAAAATCAAGAAATGGACATGATTAAATGATTACACACTTGTTCAACAAGCAGAAAACAGAGAAAGATGGCAGGTTTTGTGTGCTGGTGCTTCCACTGATACACCTCCACAACACGACAAAATTCCATTACACAGGAAAGGACATTTGCAAGATATATGTCTTACATTCTATAGTTCATGAGGAGTTCCCTATGTAGCGCCTGCCGTTCCCTGGATTCTAAGCAAGGGTTATGTAAGGGCTTTGGCTTGATGAGTGGGGGTTCTTTGCTGCTGGAAGCTGCTGCATCATCAGAGGTCATGGAGACCCCATTGTTCACATGCAAGTCGTATGCTTCTGACACAGCTGCTGAGAGCTCCTCTGCAGTGAGGGCAGGAGGGAGAGGCAGGTCGGACTCATCATGGTTGGTGGTGCCCTCCTCCTCATCATTGACATAGTCAGGATCTGGTTCTGGGAAGCAGGAGTATAGCTCCTCTGAAGAGAATAAAGAGGCAATCAATGGACTTGGCAAAATAATTCACTGAACTTTTGTATGTTGATGATAATGATTAGTTTTAATAATAAATATTTTAGTATATCCTGTCAACAGAATACAGAGGTAATCAATGGACATGGCAAAATAATTCACTGTACTTGTATATGTCGATGATAATCATTAGTTTTAATAAAATATATTTTAGTTTTTTAGTATATCCTGTCAAGAGAATAAAGAGGCAATCAATGGAATTGGCAAAATAATTCACTGTACTTGTATATGTAGATGACAATGATTAGTTTTAATAATAAATATTTTAGAATATCTCCAAAGAGAATAAAGAGGCAATCAATGGACTTGGCAAAATAATTCACTGCATTTTTATATGTTAATGATAATGATTAACTGCATTAACAGCTATTTCAGTACTTCAGTATATTCTCTGAACAAAAGAAAGAGGCACTCAATGCACTTGCCGGTTGGGTTTAGAGTATTTGTGTATGTTAATGATGATGATTGATTTTGTTAATTAATAATTCTGTACTTGAGTATAAAAGCAATAATACAATGATACAAGAACTGTAATTTAGTGGACAAAAACATGCAAGTACATAGAGAAGTAGGATGTAAGTGAAAGTTCACATCAAATGTTAGATCTTCTTAATGGTAGCAATGGCTATCTCTGGTGAGTTGAAAGGGAAGCAAATACTGATGACAGAAAAAATATGGATGTATAGAAACCAAATGATGAATATCTCTGTGTTTAGTGAGTGTGTGTGTGTGTGTGCGTGCATGTGTGTGTGTGTGTGTATAAGTATGTGTGTGTGCACATGCACACATGTGCATAGTATATAACAGTTAATGTGCACAGTATTATTGTGGGCTAATATATATGTAACATATGCATGGTGAGAGGATACCATTTTATATGGTAAAAAATATATAATGATCTTTTAGCATGGTGTAGAGGGGAGTGGGGGGGGGGGGGCATTCTTGAGCCCGAATGTTCAGGGCCACATCTAAAGCAATCATCATGAACTTTGCATGTTAGGAATTGTATTGTCCTCTTCATCTATTACTCCCTCTACCGCCCTCTTCATCTACTACTCCCTCTTCATCTATTACTCCCTCTACCGCCCTCTTCATCTATTACTCACTCTACTGCCCTCTTCATCTATTGCTCCCTCTACTGCCCTCTTCATCTATTGCTCCCTCTACTGCCCTCTTCATCTATTACTCCCTCTACCACCCTCTTCATCTATTACTCCCTCTACCGCCCTCTTCATCAATTGCTCCCTCTACTGCCCTCTTCAACTATTACTCCCTCTACCACCCTCTTCATCTATTACTCCCTCTACTGCCCTCTTTATCTATTGCTCCCTCTACTGCCCTCTTCATCTATTACTCCCTCTACCACCCTCTTCATCTATTACTCCCTCTACCGCCCTCTTCATCAATTGCTCCCTCTACCGCCCTCTTCATCTATTACTCCCTCTACCGCCCTCTTCATCTATTACTCCCTCTACCGCCCTCTTCATCAATTGCTCCCTCTACCGCCCTCTTCATCTATTACTCCCTCTACCGCCCTCTTCATCTATTACTCCCTCTACCGCCCTCTTCATCAATTGCTCCCTCTACCGCCCACTTCATCTATTGTTCCCTCTACCGCCCTCTTTATCTATTGCTCCCTCTACCGCCCTCTTCATCTATTGCTCCCTCTACCGCCCTCTTTATCTATTGCTCCCTCTACCTCCCTCTTCATCTATTGCTCCCTCCACCGCCCTCTTCATCTATTGCTCCCTCTACCGCTCTCTTCATCTATTGCTCCCTCTACCGCTCTCTTCATCTATTGCTCCCTCTACTGCTCTCTTCATCTATTACTCCCTCTACTTCCCTCTAAATCTATTACTCCATCTACTGCCCTCTTCCTCTATTACTCCCTCTACTGCCCTCTTTATCTATTTCTACCCTGACACTCACCTTTCTAGTCACCATCTCAGTTGTCAACTTGATATATCACTCCCTCTTATGTCTTCTTTATTCATTTGCTCCCTCTGATGCCCTCTACATCTATTGCTTCATCTACTGCCCTCCATCTATTACTCATCTATTTCTCCCTCTGACACCCATTTTACTAGTCACTATCTCAGTTGTCAACTTGACGTAATTTGTTTGCTCCCTCTGTCTTCTTCATTCGTTTGCGCCCTCTGATGTCTTCTTCATTCGTTTGCTCCCTCTGATGCCCTCTAGACTAGTCATTCTCTCAGATGCCCTCTAGACTAGTCATTCTCTCAGATGCCCTCTACTAGTCATTCTCTCAGATGCCCTCTAGACTAGTCATTCTCTCAGATGTCCTCTAGACTAGTCATTCTCTCAGATGCCCTCTAGACTAGTCATTCTCTCAGATGTCCTCTAGACTAGTCATTCTCTTAGATGTCCTCTAGACTAGTCATTCTCTCAGATGCCCTCTAGACTAGTCATTCCCTTAGATGTCCTCTTCATCTACTTCTCTCTCCGACACCCACCTTACTAGTCACTTCCTTATGCCCACTCCACTATCATTCACCCAGACTACACTCCTCCCTTCTATCACAACCCACACCTTCTGCCAACAACTCTTCCTATCTAAGCAGACTCTGAAGTGCATGGTGACAGTAATTCCATCATCATATAATGATTTCGCCAGCCCTGGCGTTAATGATGTAAATGTCTCCCTCTGTCAAATGTATCTCCAATCCTTGTTCCTGACCTTATTATGACGACCAGACCCCGCTGCACACCTGTCTGGCATAAACACATCAGACCTGACAGGTTGGTATGTCTGCTTCTCATGGGAGTATTCAGTAGAAGTGGCTGCTGCATCAGAGGACTCAGCAAGCTTAGGAATGTCCATTATACAGTCACATTGAACGTGATAACTGACAAGTTTCTAAGCTGCCAAACTCTGATCTTTTTACATGTATTTTATGGGAATGTGGTCCATCCCGTTCCCAATGGTGTGTACTCATGCAGTATTGCGTGTTAAATACACATTTTCGTTAACTGACTGCTTACATTAACAGTGAGCTAAAATTGTGGTGTTGGACTGCTAGTGTTGGCACATCTAACAACTGCCAAACACTATCATTACTAACATTTTAAACTGAAAACGGGACATCCTACTTTGCTGAAAATGACACGTTTTTCAAAGGACATTTTGCGTGATTTCCGCCGGCACAGAAATGGAGCAGTTATCTGGCATATATATATACATATATATTTAGTGATTGTAGCAGGTCCTTTGCAGAACATCACTCTCATCATGGCCTACCTGAAAAAAACTTGATCTCTTGCCCGCTCTCCCGCCTCATGCACTTTCACATATATATATGGTTTAAGTGGTACGGCCAAATTATTATTACTGGCATCTGTGGCGTAGGCTCTGCAAGCGCGCTTCATAATTCTGAGGTATCCGGTTTGATTTCAGCTGAGGACGATCGGGTGGCAGACCGCTTTGAGTTGATTCTAACAATCGTACTGAGCGCCGATCGCTTAGAAGCAATGGCAAACTAGTGGACGTAAAACTGTCTATTAAAACCAAGCAGCCAAAGTAGGCTGGGGTTGGTTTAGCAACGTCATTTACTATAACAGATGAGCAACTTTTTAAAACTACAGACAGCAACATCCTTCTCTGCTTTCTCTTCCCCGGTGGAGTTCAGGAACTCAATCAACTCACGCACGCCAAGTCCTTCTATCCTTCGCCACTGCATGTCCTCCCCATCATATTCTTCTTCACGTTCACCGGCTGTAAACTCTGGTGGAAAGTTTTGCTTGTTAATCCACCTCTGGACTTTAGAATCGTCCCAGAACCTGAGTGTTGCGTGTAAATCCGTATTACAGATCTGTATGTAGACTGTTGGTTGCTTGCCTTTCAAACAGACGTACTCCGGCTTCGAATGAAATCCCCAATGAGTCGACTCTTACCACATGCTTGTTGGAGAGGCAATGGGTCTATTCTTGTTTTCCCCCACAATGGGACCCCGGGACCCATCTTTTTAACTTCAATCTCTAGCTCCCTTCTCCGTGTTTTTGTGTGTGGGTGTTCCTACTTTATCTCTGTGTCACTGTGGGTTCCAGTGCAAAGACATTATAGTTATATTGTTCTCAGGGTTTCTCCACTAGTGAAAATAAAATAACTTATGACGAGTCAAAAGCCTGTGTCATATTGTTATATGTAAGGAGAAAAAGACGCACATCTGCAAAGAAGTTTGTTTTATTAAGCAAATAAATTAAGCAATAGAAATGCAAAAATTTAGTTATTGTTAGGTTACAAAGCACTACAAGAAAATGCAACTAGTCAGACAGCTATAAACAAGCGTCAAATCTGTAAAAAAAAAATTAATTATGGATACATACAAATTCAGCGTTGAAACTCTCGACTTCTGCATGTACATTGAAGAATCAACTCCATCATTTTTTGGCTGCTGTTTTTCTAGGCAAATTTTAAATTCAGCTAACGGTCAGCTGTAAGTACCATTGTTGAAACTAATGCAAGACATTCTGCTGCCAAATAGCCTGCAGCAGGAATCGAACCTGGCACCCTGGCATTACGAAGTGCATTGGCAATGCCTAAGCCACAGCCGACTGCTTATGTACACCATCATCAATCAGCAAGTCCCTTACAGAACGTCGCTCTCACCGTGACACGCCTGAAAGTCTCTCTTTCTCTTGCCTATTCTCCAGCTCTGTGTGCTTTCAAAGCCAACACAGTCTGACTGTCTTGCTTTTACCAGTTGTTTTTATGCACTAGATTTGCTAGCGGATTCAACACGTTTCTGTTAAATGAAGCAAGATCCCCGTGTGGGGTCCGGGGCCCCATTATGGGGAAAACAAGAAAAGACCCACTGCCTCCTCACCAAGCATGTCCTAGGAGTCGACTAATGGGGGACTTCCTTCGAAGTCGGAATACGTCTGCCCGAAGGGCGGCAAGGAACAACTGTAATGGGGGATATTTTCCACT